ACTTCTGCTTCTTATCAAAATGTTCATCATTATCTATAAATTTTTTTAAAAACAGGCTTCCTGTTGCTTTCTAATTCTGTGGTCCATACCCTGCAAATTATAGGATATTCTTTTATGCAATCAATCATACATAAAGTTCTACAGCATCCTCAACTGACTGCTATTCAGCATCTGTTTAAACACCTTACCAACGCAAAATCCATTACCTTTTAAGGCAGAATATTCCACTGGGAATAGTTCTTGCCTTTAGAAAATTGTTCCTGAGTTGAAATCTGCCCTCCTATAATATAAATGCATTGTTTCTTATTCTATCTCCTGGATCATCTTTGAATAATACTGACCCATCACAGACATACTTTATCATGAGAAAGACTGTTGCTTTAACTATTTTGATTTTTGTTGTCATAGCAATATTCTTATCCTTCATGATCTTTACCATTGCCTTTCTCCCTAGAATTCATCACTTTACTTCTCCAATCTTTTGCCCATTCTTCACTATTCTTGAGCCTAAGAAGAATAAACTATCTACTATCTTATTTTTTTTTGCTGTCCTAGTGAGTGTAGTTGACCTTACTAGTTGGCCTTTACTGTAAGGTCATCAAACATGCAAACTGACATTACTTTTCTCTTCCTAATATTTAATCAAGATTATCCATTTTTTCTTTCACAATGAGCTTTCTTAAGAATTTCTTACTTTAACAAAATGATGTAATTTGCATATCTCAAATTGTAAGCATTTGGGCTTCTATTAGTAATTGTTGGATTGATCTAGTTGTTGGATTTCTTTTTACATCCAGCTCCAAATAACATTGGTATTAATAGTTGATATCATGCTGCATTGTCTCTAGGGGATTAGACTGTTTGGAGAAAGAAAGAAAAATCCTTTCTGATCCAAATATTATTTATACAGGACAGTGTAATTCTGAGCAGAATTAATGGGCTTTGTCCTGTTCTTTTGCCTCAAACAACACAAAATCTTAATGAAAGGAAACAGACACAGTTGTTTTAAGCATTTCCAAAGGATTCTGCAGGAAAGAATGGAAGGTTCTGTATAAAAGCTACATGTGTCATTGAGATGTTCTGATATTTCTTTCATTTGCCTGCTGTGTGCAAAGTGGGAAATTATGCCTATTGCCAAAGGTCTTCCATATCACGGCAACAGCAATCCAAAAGTTTTAAATATTTTGGCAGCAAAACTCATCGTTCCTCCAAATGTACTTGATTTTCTTAAACAAGCTGCGTAGAGTAGGAAAAACCCAAAAGCAAGCAGACAAGATTATTAAGCTCTGTTTACACAGGGCTTTATTATTACAGAGATGTAATAATAATAGGCAACTTTAATAAGAACACTATAGTGTATTGACCAATAAGCAAGGTATCATTTAATGATTCCTGTTGCAGATGTTCTGGCATCATGAGCCTTTAAGAATGTCTTTATGCCAGGGATCCCCAACCCCCAGTCTGTGGCCTGGTACTGGGCCGTGGCCCATTGAAAACTGGGCTGTGCAAGTGGCGGGTGAGTGTGCGAAACCATCTCCTCTCCCCCCCACCACCACTGTTGCCGGTCCACAGAGCTGGAAAGGTTGGGGACCACTGCTCTGTGCTACTTTTTTTGCCAGGAATATAGACCAGAATATTTGATGCCACTTACAACTAAAGTCCTAAGAATAGCTCTGTTGGAACAGGCCACACACATAACATCCCTACATTTCCTCATTTTATCTAGCTTCTCTCAGAGCTGGGTTTTGTTTTGTTTTTGCAATTAGTTCAACGGCAAGGTTGTGTAGACAGCAGAGTGGAGTGGTTGGTTCCAGAATATTTCTTTAGAGGAGGGAAAAAAAGACAAGCAGACATATGTTTTGAGACATATGAATTTTCTTCCATGCTGACTTCTTTATGAATAATGTATTTTCATTTCTGGATTGTCTTTTTATTGAATTAATACAGTGGTTCAGAAGTACTGGCTTTCTTTTCACAGTCTTCTTATAGCTTTTCTTACAACATTGGTCAAATTTTGTGGAACATCCTCCCATTTAATTTGTTATTTGAAAGGACAGGCTAGGATGCTCAGGGTTAGATTTAGGAATAGATAATGAGTCAGAGAAATGCCCAGGGTGCTAGTCTCAAAAGAATATTTATTATAATACTTAACCTATCTAGTCAACTATTCAGTAAACCACTAAACAAATAGCAAACTCAGTTTATTTTCATAGATAAAGCTAGTAGGAGCATGAAATCTTATTCCCATATTCCAAAAGTGGGCTTCCTGCCCTCCAATATCTGTTAAAGCAACTAGACACTTGCTTGTGCTTTAAAGCATAATTTACTGATGCCTTCTTCTGAAGCATCTGTAAGCAATTTTGTCAATTATTGTTTGTAAATGTGTTGCACAATGGGATGAGCTCTCATTACTTGCCCCAGCTCCTGCCAACCTTCGAAAGTATGCAAATGCTAGTAGATAAATAGGTACCACTTTGTGGGAAGCTAACAGCACTCAGTATACAGCCACATGACCACAGAAGTGTTTTTGAACAATGCTGGCTCCCTCAACTAAGAAACAGAGATGAACACCGCCCCTAGCTTTGGATATGACTGGACAGGGAAAACCTTTACCTTTTAATTGGGTATTTTAAGACTTCTGGGTTTTCTGGTACCCAGGCTTCACAAAACAGAAATTAAGTTAGTATTGCTGGGCTTTTATATATTTTACATATCGTAATAGATATAACTGGCATATCTATTTTTTGTGGACCCAAGCTTTGCAGAGAATGTCAATAAATCTGTGCTCGTTCTTTCTGCCTGCAAGCTGGACAATTGTTGGATTGCTAAATGCACTGTCCTTTGAGCTTTCCCAGATCATACATGCACAACCCCCCCACCCCCCCATACACAGTAGAACTGTCCTTGAAAAACATTGGGAAGTTTAATTGGTGCAGAATGTGATGGCACAAATAGTAAAAGGCGCTGGTTACCTGGTGCACGTGATACCAATACGCTGTGACCTGCAATGGCTTCCAATATGCTTCTGGGTACAATTCAAGATGTTGGGAACCATCTTTAAAAGTCCCATTATGACATCCAATGGCTCTGAGCTGGAGTACTTATGGGACCTCTCTCCCCCATTTTTTCTTCCCATCCTATCTGATCATATCAGATTCTTGTTCTCCTGTGGCATTTGCCCAGAATAGAGGGAGATGTTGCTCAGAAGAAATAACAACCACAAGATCTAATGAATATCATTGCATAAAAATATTTTGACCCAGGTTCGTTACACACAATATGGATTTAGAGGTCAAAGGAATGTACATATAAGCTGCATCATATTTGAATCTTATCCAGTCAATTTTGCTTCTGTTTCTCTTTGGAGTATATTTTTCTATTTTAACTGAAATGTTCCAGTTAACAATAGATCACGCTCTTCGCATTTGCATAATTGTTTTGTTTGCACACAGATATCAAACCTATATTTGTTCAGCAGTATGTTTCACTTTTTCAGTCTTTCAAAGATGTTCTTGTTTACCTTTCTAATATTACCTTTCCACAAAACTGTGTACAGTTAATTTTTGTTCCTAAACTACAACTAGTGCTTAAAGACAAGAGGCAGCCACTCATTTCACTTGCTTGCTGTTCAGGCTTCATCCACAAACCGATTTTTTTATTGCCCTACCAAAATCTTTTTCTCAAAATCCAAGTCTTCCCCCATGCCTTGGGTTAAGTGCTGAGAATTCCTTTATAGGAATATTGTATGGTTGAGTAGGTATTGGTTTTATTGTTTCCAGATGTTTTCTATTTTTGCCTTATTGTTGTTAATTTGTTTTTAATATTGTATTCCACTCAAGAATCTCTGTGGAGCAGGGCAGCCTTACAAATGGATTAAATGAATTGTACCTCTTCACCAGTCAGGTGCTTCTGTGTGAGGAATGGGGGATGTCAGCAGTGTGAAAAGGATGTGTATAATCAAGAGACCAAAGCCCCAGCCCTTAGGGCAGTTGCCCAGTCATGCTCATCATTTGATACCATTGACCCCTTTCTGTGGATGCTCTTGTCCCCAAAAATGTTTTCTGGTTTTCTGCAACGTCACCCAGGGCTTCACCTGCTGCACTTCATTTCATTTCTACTCGACTGGATACTCTGCCCACTGGAAAGAATATCCCCTCTCATCACTGATCTCTACCTTTCACTGTCAGTTTTTGGAGCGGCTTTGGAAGATGGGAGATTCTAGGAGTTGAAGGACACACATCTGAAGGGCACCCATGTTAGGTGGGGATGCAACATGCTGAAATACGCTTGGCTGGATTGTGTTGGCTTAATTCAGTAAACCATATTTCACTTCACCTTGAGTTTCCGTGCAAGCGCATTTTCCACCAGGCATGAAGAATAGTTTTGGGTAGGACAAGTTCTTTCGAATCTTAAAGCCTTTTGAATTCTAAGAATTCAATAGTTCTTTCAATGCAAAAAAGAATGTAGAAGCCTTTCATCTGAGGAAGACTGCATTACAATTTATTTATCAGCCACGAAATCGTTATGCTGTCCGTCCGTTGCCCTCTTCCTAGTCCAGGAGTCTTCGAACTTGGCCCTTTTATGACTTGTGGACTTCAACTCCCAGAATTCCTCAGCCAAGCATGCTGCCTCAGGAATTCTGGCAGTTGAAGTCCACAAGTCACAAAAGAGCCAAGTTTGAAGACCCCTGGACTAGTCCTTCTCAAGGGAATTCCGTTAAAAACGACCGCTTCCAGGATTCCCTCCGTTAAACTAACCCAGGGGTAGTCAACCTTGGCTCTTTTATGACTCGTGGACTTCAACTCCCAGAATTCCTGAGCCAGCACAGCTGGCTCAGGAATTCTGGGAGTTGAAGTCCACGAGTCATAAAAGAGCCAAGGTTGCCTACCCCTGAACTAACCGATCCAGCAGCCTAAGGAAAGAACTCTTCTCGCTGCGCAGGCGCACCTTTGAAGCCGGACTCCGCCTTTTGCATGATTTGGACGAAGCGGCTTTCCTTATTCCGCTGACGTCGACTCTTTGAATCGCCGCGACTCCGGCTGGCTGATATGGCTGCTCAGAAGATCAACGAAGCCTTGGAGCACATCGCTAAAGCAGAGAAATAGTGAGCGGAGCTGCAGGAACGGGCGGGCGGGAGGCAGAGCGGAAAGGCGCCCCCTCCCCCCCCCTTGCGGCTGGGCAGGACGATGAGAGGCTCTTCCGCCTCTCTTTGGCCACGCCCATGTCCAGGGGGCTCCCAAAGGGGGTCCCCGAGGCGGCTGGTTTGACAGAAGGCTTTGCTGGACCAAAATCTACAGCCTGGGAAGGGGAGGGGGAGGGGGAGAGGGAGGGGTGGCATCACGAGATGGGTTGGTAGACTGGGTGGGTCCGCCTGTTAAAGATGCACGAGGGCAGGCTGGTGTTTGTTTGGCGTTTCATGTCAAGGTCCACTTTCCATTTTAGAAAAGAAGCAAATGGCTTCGTATTTGGAACCTCTGATCCTATTTATAGACAGGTTTAAATCCTCGACTTAAGACCGCAATTGAGCCCAGCATTTATGTTGTGAAGCGAGAAGTGTGTAAAGTGAATTTGGCCCCATTTTTAGGACGTTTCTTGCACATGTGGCAAGAAAAGTCGTAAAAATGGGGCCAAATTCACTTTACACACTTCTCACTTCACAACATAAATGTTGGGCTCAATTGCGGTCTTAAGTCGAGGATTTAAGCCCTTGCTAAATTAGTAAGACCGTTGTTAAGTGAATCTGGCTTTTCCGTTGACTTTGCTTGTCAGAAGGTCACAAAAGGTGATCACGTGACCCCCGGGACACGGCAACCGTCGTAATTAGGAACCAGTTGTCAAGCATCTGAACGTAAATCGCATGACCATGGGGATGCTGCAATGATCATTAAGTATGAAAAAATGGTAATGGGTTCATTTTTTTTTAGTGCTGTTGTAACTTCAAATGGTCAAATGAACTGTTGTAAGTGGAGGACTACCAGGAGTACAAAACCGTATAGGTTTTACATTTATTAAGCAGACTGCTAAATGGTCCCACTGTTTTTCCTGGGCTGATTATCTCTTCACTTTGAAGCTTTGTAATTGATTGATTTTGATTATGTTCTTTCCAATTGGGGTTGATTCTTAGGGACTATCTGAATGGATTTTAGCCACGGTGGTCTGCCCCTAGCCTGATCCTTCAGGTCTTCCAACAACAACATGGAATTCACAATTCCATGGCCACTGAAATTGAATTCATCCACCTTGCTGCTGGTCATCCTCATCTTTTTTCTTTCTCCTTTTGCAGCATCAGGGCCTTCTGCAGAGAGCTTGGTCTTTGCATAATGTGTCAAAAATCTTCTGTAATTGAGCACAGTATCATTTATGTCATATTACAGCTGCCTATTCCTCCTTTTCTTCAAAGATATCTGCTGCCTGAAATAATATTATTGGTGCTTCATTTGGTCCTGGCCTTCCTTGGTTGAGATCCTTTAAATTATGACAGACAGGGATAGGGGTTGAAATGAGAAGCAGATGCTGTACCACATCTGAGCACAGTGATAAAATATGGGCTCCGAAACACAGCATGTGTAATTAGACTCGACTATTTTTTTTATAGCTTTGACCATCCAAAAGATGAACCTGATATTGGGATCAGGTTTCTGCTATAATGAACTGAAATTAGTGGTATGGGAGATGGCATGAAAAGCTGACTCCTTCATCCCCTGCTTCATTGTGAACAATATTAATGGCTTCACATTTTGATTTTCAGCTTGAAAACTGGATTATTAAAATGGAGACCAGACTATGACAGTGCAGCTACAGAATATTCCAAGGCAGGTATGTCTTGTAAAATAAGGGGGTTGTTTTTAAATCTTAATTTCTTCTGCAGAATAATGGTTAATTCAGCTTTGGGAACAGGACTTGATGTCCAGAATAACTTCACATTTCAAAAGCAAATCTTACATTGAATTTAATTAAATTTGGAAATAATTTCCCAAATTATAACTCCCTCTGTAGGCTTGTACCTCATCCAAAATTTGGGTTTCTCTTAACATGAAGTATCCCTTTTCTTGGATATAAAACTAATTCCTAATCTCATTTTATGATTATACTGTACTGATGATTTCTCGTGTGTGTGTGTGTGTGTGTGTGTGTGTGTGTGTGTGTGTGTGTGTGTGTGTAATGGATCTTAACAATTATTTTTTCTTTTCTAAAAATGTTTAGTAAAAAAGGTAAAAAATAAACGTATTTCATAGTAATTGTGGTATATGCAATAACAATGGTTTTCCCAAACCCATTTTATGAATGTAATTTATTGCTGAACCCTAATTCAAGTATTTATCATACTTATTCCACCCCATGGGCTGTGGATAAAAATAGTATGTTTTGATTTAGTAACAAATTGCATTAATTTTATCCTGTATAGTTGGATTGCATTTACGAATACTTCATGTATTTTTTTTAAATAGTTGCAGTGTGTTGCCCTTTGTGTTTTTACAAAGTTTTATCTAGCTATGTTATTATCTAGTGACTAAAGATCTGCATGTTGTCTAGTCTCCTGCTTGCAACAGGTATATGTCCTGTTGTATTTTGAATAACCCATTTCTTTTTTTATCTGGAATTAATCCTTATTGTATTCAATAGCACATACTGGGATTATATTGAGAAGATCACATATACTTTGATTTTAAGCTTACAGGAAGTTTGTGAAAAGAGATAGGAGAAAACTGTTAGATTGGTTGGCTCCCCTAAGAAACTGTAGACCAGGAGTCACCAGCTCATTTGGAAGCCTGTAGGAACTCAAAAAATGGCTTTTATTAATAGATGTAGCTGTTAAAAATACATATTAGTAAAAAGCTCCAAAGGCCCTAATTGACCATTATATTTTTTTTAGAGTAAGTAAGTGAACTTTAACTTTATTTCTTTATTTACAGCGCAGGGCTATAGGAATCTGTACATTTCATTTTCTGTACACAGTTTTGTGGAAAGGTAATATTAGAAAGGGATAGAAGATTAACTGTACACAGTTTTGTGGAAAGGTAATATTAGAAAGGGATAGAAGATTACTCTTCTAAATAAAGATAATGCTTAACGTTAAGGTTTTACTTTGAATACCTAAAAGTGCATTCAGTATGGGCAGCAGCAGGACAAGCATGCATAGAAGTCCCAACTTTGGCAAAATGCTGGATAAAAACAGTTTGAAATCAATAAATTATGTCTTTTAAAAAATTGCTAATGTTATTTCCAAAAAGCAATAATGTTCTTTTTTATTATCTTTTTGCAGCTGTTGCTTTTAAAAATGCCAAACAATTTGAACAAGCAAAAGAAGCATATTTTAAAGAAGCTCTATCCCATGAAAATAATAAAGCGTATCTTTTCAACATTTCTTGTTTCTGCCTTAAGTAATTGGAAATCATGTTGGGTTTATATTAATTTATGCCTATTCCAAACATATAATTGTATTTTGTTATATTTAAAGGTGTTTTAACAGAAAATTAATAGACTATTCCCTGCAATAGGAAAATGTTATTGTACCTATGTATGTCCAGGTCCAATTTAATTATGTAATTAAATAACAAACTCTTAGTTATAGGATATGCCTGTTAATCAACTTTGTAATGTTTCCACACCTCCCAGAGACCCATTAATGTATATTCATTGAGATTTTTATTTATATGGAAAAATAGTTTTGAGTAACAAACTAGCATTAGAACAGCAAATACATTTTTTTAATACCAAATCTGTGAGGAAGATTTTAGAGAATTCCTTCATTGGCCTCATTGCTTAGCCACTCATGCAAGAGCTGCTTAAAATGACTATTCCTAGGAGGGATTGCAGAGTGTTTTAAGAAGTTCCTACATGTTTTAAAAATCTTGCCTAGTAGTGATAAGAAATGTCCCCTTTCCCCTGCAGTCTTTCTACTTCCAAATATGATCTGGAATGTTGAGAAGTCTTCAAGAGTAAATCGGAGGAACTTGGGATATTATGGAGAAAAGGGGAAAAAGAGAAAAATATGTTGCAATGTGAAGTCCTCTTGTGCAATTTTGGATATGACCAAACTTTGAAATCTCTGAGGTTAGGAAACCATAGTCATAGTATTGAAACTAAAGTACTTAAGGAAAAAAAAATGTTGATTCTGAAGCAGGCATGAGGGCTTACTGATACATTTTATGTTTTATCAGGTTTCTTTTCATCAGACTTCTGTTGTAAAGAGAATGTTTAATTGATGTATGATTATGAATTTTTGAAACTCCTAAACAGTTGAATTTATCCAGAAAGATTTTATATACACATATATATTTATCCTTGACTTGAAATAACATAAATCCAGCTTGTTCCATGCTGCAAAGTACGTATGAATATTTGTCAAATTTCATAATATATGTGAAATACAATTGATATTGACAAGAGTTGATGGTTTATACTGTCTTTTTAAAGGTGCTGATTTTCTTTTATTATTCCCTATTGACTAAATTAGGAGTGAAATTTAGAAAATGAGTCTACTTTTGATGTATATTACCATTTTTTCTTGATTGAGAAACCAGTTTTATCAGCCAAGGCAGAAACCTCAGATCTCCTTTTGCAGAGGTTAATTGTTTTTATTTTTTTTAAAAAAAACATTTACATATCTACCCATCTTCTACCAAACTCTAGGTGGCTCCAAATCAGCAGTTAAAACAATATCAATAATAAAACAACATAGTACATAAGTATATTGAAACTGTTCTACACTAACATGAGATATTTACTTAATTTGTTCAGTTATACTTTTAATTTCTCTTTTCAGGGCTTATGAACAAGCAGGGATGATGTTAAAGGTATGACAGGTTTTTTTTTATGAAGACCTTTAGTTAAAACTAAATATTAGAATGACCTGTGCAATATTCAGTTTGCAGTTTATAAACCTGTTTGGGGATCCATGATTCATAGTTCTTACAAACTAATTCGTAGACTTACGAACTTATCTTTTGAATTGAATTCTATTTAAATTTGCATTTTCTTTATAGAATTGTTAACTCACATTTTTCTGTGATGTATCCTGTGTTGTCTGATTAAATATTTGGGATCCTTCCTTCCTTCCTTCCTTCCTTCCTTCCTTCCTTCCTTCCTTCCTTCCTTCCTTCCTTCCTTCCATCCATCCATCCATCCATCCATCCATCCATCCATCTAGTTGTCTTAGAAAATGAATTCATAACTTTAGCTTTGGCATGCATTGTAGATAATGTATTTTTGAAACAGTTATTGTTGTAAAATGATGGGAATTTTCTCAGAATAGTTCATTGCTAGAGCAAAAGAACAATTTTCTGCTTTTCTCACTCACACATTTATGCATCACTTGATATTTATGGCATTTGGAAAGACTTCAGAGATCAATCACAGATAAAATTTTCTTAGGCTTTCAAAGTATTTTTCAACCAAACTGCCATTGTACGGTGGACTATTTCCATCTATCAGAAAATGTTCACTGTTACTCAAGAGAGATTTAGCAAAATATATGATTTAAAATAAATAACATTTTATTAGACTAAAAGCAACTTATTTTATACACCCTGAGAAATCTGGCTCTTTTTCTTTCATTTTCAGGAGATGCAAAAACATCATGATGCAGTGGAACTGATTCAGAAAGCCAGCATGATGTACCTGGAGAATGGAACCCCTGACACAGCTGCCATTGCACTTGATCGGGCTGGGAAGTAAGTTTGAAATCTCAAGCTGTTAGTTTTTTATTTGGAAAAGAAGGCAGATTTCTCTAGTCCTTTGAGTAACTGAATAATAATATTGAATCTTTTATTTTAGGGTCATAGAAAACATAAATCCAGACAAAGCTATACAGCTATATCAGCAAACAGCTTCAGTATTTGAAGTAAGTCCTCTGAAAGTACAAAATAAAATACTTTTTAACTAAGAATGCAGAAAGTGATCATTCCACTGTTGCAAATTTAGCTATTTACCAAAAAAGTGAATATTAAGAGATAGAATGTTTTCAAAGCATGTACTGTATATGTTACTATTTTCTTGGCAATTACTGCTACAGATTAATGGACAAGCTGATGTGGTAGAGGCCATCTTTGTAGACTTTTCCTGCTTCCATTTGAAAATGTCATTTGCTTTGTGTATAGTGCAAGTTAGCTACGGGGAGGAATGGCGAAACTTAAACTGGCTAGGTCAATGAGACCAAATCTGGCCATAAGCTATCTTTCTGCACGTCATCAACAGATTTCTCAGTAGTTTTCTAAAAATGCAGTATCTCATGCAACACGGAGCAGCCTAAAGTAGGCCGCAGAGCGCTGTCAACAGAAAGAAAACACCGCCCGAAAATAAGCGGTGTGTCGCAGAGCCTGGGGAACATTGGGCCACTGGGGCAAACACTCCATTCCCCAAGGCTCGCATGCCTTGAGTGGCAATGGTGGCAGTAGGACTGAAAGGACTTGGCCTAGACTTCAGGTCCAGCTTCAGTGCTGCCACTGAGTACCGCTGTTCAGGGTGCCCTAGATGTTTGGGGGTGGGGGACATAGAGAATTGCTTCTTTTTCTGGGATGTGTGTGACATGCCAGTAAAGTCCTTGTCTGAATGTTTGACATGTTGAGTCTAAAAGGTTTGCCATCAGTGGTCCAGCTTTGTGATTTCTCTATTCTGACAAATGATGATATGTCTGAGATATTTTTAAAAGAAAGCATTTTGAGAAATCGAAAAGTAATTTAGCTACAGTATGTGGGATAGGGAAGTGTGTAGTGCCACATATTAACAGGATGTAATCATAGGTTGTATCGTCTAGTTCAGGGGTAGGCAACCTCGGCTCTTTTATGACTCATGGACTTCAACTCCCAGAATTCCTGAGTCAGCTATGCTGACTCAGGAATTCTGGGAGTTGAAGTCCATGAGTCATAAAAGAGCCGAGATTGCCTACCCCTGGTCTAGTTCATAAAATTGTATTTAATTAATAACCTGGTCAAGCTTTACTTAATTCAAGAGAAATGCATTTGGGAAATGGTATGTATTTCAGTCTGAGTTAGCTCCAATAATTCAGAAAACTTGCATTAAAATCAACCACTTAAACATTGCTTATGCCTATGCTTTTGTTTTTGTTTTTTTACTCAGAATGAAGAGCGTTTAAGGCAAGCGGTTGAAATGTATGGAAAGGCTTCAAGGCTTTTAGTCAGAGGTCGTAGGTGTGCATCTTAACAGTTCTGTTTTCAAATATCAGAAAAACAATTCTAGCTTATTTGACAAATTCATTGTGATAATACGGATATTACTGGGTTATGACATTACAAGTATCAGCTGTTCTGCTGTGTAACATAATTCATGTTTTAACTTATTTTTTTTAAATAGCTCAATTAGTGAATCTGGTTTTGAGAAGAAAACCTTTTGCTTTTGGTCCTTAATTGGGATTACCATGACTACAAAAATAATTTTTCTTCCTTAAAAGCTTATTGTTTATGTAAACACAGAGGCACTCTTAATATATCTTAACACAATATATCATCCTTGTGCATATAAATAAGGCCTTCATTTCTGCAGGAGTTTGTATTGATAGCTTTTTAACTGCAGTTTTAATACGGGCTCAGTTTTAATATGCTCACACGAGGATATTCTTATTTTTCCTCTTGAAATTGGACATTTATTTGGGAAATTGGCTAATTTTGACCTTCTGATTCCTGCATATTTAAATAACCCTTTCTTGCTCATTTTTGTTTTGCAGACTAGATGAGGCTGCACTATCTCTTCAAAAAGAAAAGAGTATTTATAAAGATATTGAAAACTATCCAACGTGTTACAAAGTATACAGCTACCCATTTCTTGTTTTTGCAAGGAAGCGGGGGGGGGGATTGTGCTTTATCTTTTGAATTATTTTAACTTGGGGGTTTCACTTCTAATTATACAGCATTATTTGGATTCTTTCCGTTGATTTTAAAAGAGTCGCATGGAGAAGGCCTTTATAAAATCTATATATTTGTGTATTTACTGTTATTTGATCACGGGGATGACTTTTCTCCCGCAGTGCTGAAAAGATACTAATGCTACTCTTAATATGATTTTGGCATTCTTCTATCATGATTAGGCTTCAGTTGCTATGAGATATTTTGGTTTCCTAGATCTTGTGGAAATTGTGTTGTCTGAGCTTTTGAGATTAGCTGTAATAATAAAAACAGAAAATCTGTGCAGATAATACACTAATACAAACTGATCTACAAATGTTTTGGTTACTATTAATATCAGTAAGGGCTTAGCTCACAATTTAATCTTTCCAGTTCTTTTGAGTCAGCAGCCTGAGGATAAAAAACAATATTCTGCCTATTTTCCTGATAGACAGTTTATTTAGTTTATGTCACTATGAAAACTACATGGGATCATTAATACCACATCGATTTACCAACCCCCATAAAATATGCATTTTTAAAACACAATGAGAAGAAAACTGGATTTCTCATTGTGATTACATGAAAAGTTAACATTTAATAATTCTGTTTTGGGCGATTCTTTTGACCTCTGATGTAATCTCAGTTGTGTGCCATATGAAAATAGTACTTTTAGTTGCATTCAATGAAAAATGTTTATTAAGTGCCTAAAATTCTACTGTGATTTCATTCACAAACCCTTTCTACAAACTGTTGTGATCAGTAAATGCAAAACCATTACCCTTCATTTGGAATAGTTTGAACAAAAACTGACAGAATGAGCTAGCAATCAAAACGAATCATATTTTTTACATTCTTCTGTAGTTTTCACATCCCAGATTTATTTTTCTAAAGGGGTGATTATCCTTAACCCTATAATGCCTCTCTACCAAGGCTAGTGTAATCTTTTAAAAAAATCTCTGTTCGTAGAAGAAAACTGCCCTTGTTTTGCTACTACACTATATCCCTTCCTTTCAATAGAAATTATTTTTTTGGTATAGTTTGGTTAAAGTGAGAAAAATACTGATTTTCTTTATAAATACTCATTTTTTAATTTTTTTTAGAAAACTATTGCCCAGGTCTTAGTACATCTACATAGAAATGACTATGTTGCTGCAGAAAAATGTGTCAGGGAGAGTTATAGGTGAGTTGCTTGATTGCTTGATTGAGTTTTAATTTGAATTGTGTTTGAGAGGGCATCTATTTACACACCTGCCATTTTATCTCATTATTAAGAATTGAGAATTCAGGCTTTCCCTATATACAGATAGTCCTCAACTTACAACCACAATTGAGCCCAAAATTTATGTTGACAAGTGAAAAATTTGTTAAGTGAGTTTTGGCCCATTTTACGACTTTTCTTGCCACATTTGTTAAATGAATCACTGCAGCTGTTAAATTAGTAACACAGTTGTTAAGTGAATCTGACTTCCCCATTGACTTTGCTTTTCAGAAAGTTGCAAAAGGTGATCACATGACCCCGGGACACTGCAACCGTCATAAATATGAGTCAGTTGTCAAGTGTGCGAATGTAAATCACATGACCCTGCGGATGTTGCAAAAGTCATAAGTGTGAAAAATGGCCATAACTCACTTTTTCAGTGATGTCACTTTGAATGGTCACTAAGTGAATTGTTGTAAATCGAGGACTACCTGTATTACCATTTAGGTATCTCTCTAATTTATTAACATTGTTTCCTGCCATAGAAATTAAACAATTTGTTTTTTTAAAATGTATTTCTTTGAAGTGCCTAGGAAGCCAGCTGGCAATTAAACTATCTAGATCAGTGATGGCGAACCTTTTAGAGACCGAGTGCCCAAAAACCGCCCCCTGCCCCTGCTCCGCCTCCCACCCTGTCTGCTCTACCCCCGCCCGCCCCCCGCTCCACCTACCCGCAGGGCCATGCACTGCCTCCATGGCCTGCTGCAGATTGCCCAGGCAGCCCTGCAGCGCCATGGCAGCCATGCCCTCCGACCGCACCCTGCAGCATCATCTGCACCCTATGGGGTGTGAGGATGGAGTCTTGTCCCTGCTGCCCGGCTATGTCCTTGGCTGCGCTGCTTCGTGCAGGCCGCGCCCGGGGGTGACTCTCCTCCAGGGGGGCTGCTGGTGAGGAGGGGACCGTGGCAGGAGGCGGGGCTGGGGCGACAGTGCGTGCCCACAGAGAGGGCTCCAAGTGCCACCTCTGGCACACGTGCCATAGGCTCGCCACCACTGATCTAGATTGTGTACGGTAATTATACCACAACAGTATCATAACAAACAGTATTGTACTTGTTGCATGGGATAATTAACCCAGTGATAAAATGCAGCAGAGAAAGTAAGATTGGTACTAAATGTAATTGGCATTTTATGCTAGAAGGCCTGCTGTGCACAGGGGCAGTACAGGTAATGAAGTACACCTTAAAGAAGGCATTCCACAGATCAACAGGCATTCTGATCCTCACCCAAAATATTCATTTAAGAAAATCTGTGCTTATTTGTATATGAGTTTTCTCATTTTTTTAAAAATAACCTCAAATGAATACCTAATTGCTTCAGCATACCAGGCTTCACAGAAAGCGAAGACTATGCAGCCCTGGAGCAGCTCCTAGAAGGGTACGATCAACAGGATCAGGACCAAGTATCAGATGTTTGCAATTTTCCACTCTTTAAGTATATGGACAATGATGTAAGTTGCTGCTTTTATTTACTGAACAGAGTACCTATTAAACAAGTGGCTTTTTATTGAAAAATGCAGATGATATAAATCAGTTGGACCACTGATGAACAATGTGTGTTATTGATAAATTAGTATAATATATCCAGCCTTTAAAATTGAATATTTCTAAGTTACTGCATTCTCTTTACACACTTTTGTGATATTATGATACCTAAATTAAAGTGCATTAGCACTTTAAATGAATGGTACAAATCATGTAAAAGAAACCATTTCTTCTGATGTCTTATTCTGGATTTAATAGTGTTTTTGGAGACATTTTCCTGTCTGAAAAATAATGATTGCTGTAATTTATTTGTTGCGAGACCAACCTTTCCTGAGCATATGTATAAGTATTTGATAGCTTTGCTTTCTTGGTTGCTTCATTTTATGTTTTTAGTAATAAATATTTTGTTTTCATATAGCAATGAGTTGCATATTAGCTTACAGTCTGTTTTCCTTAAGTTAGTTTATTTGTACAAGATGGTATTTGATAATTGGGTGTTTTACTATTAGAGTAAATTGGTATTCTCCAGCCATTTTCTTAAGAAAAAGTACTCTTCATAGGTCCTCACCATATTAGATAGAGCTTACTACAACACGGTTGTCTAGTGCTTTGATAAATAATTGTGATGTGCTTTTAAAATACAGGCATCTTATTATAATTATTTTTTTACTTTTGCCAGTATGCAAAACTTGGCCTTTCGCTTGGTGTCCCAGGAGGAGGTATAAAGAAGAAATCTCCAGTTACTCAACAAAGTGGACCAGCTATATCAGATTCTCGTGGAAATGAGGAAGATGATGAATATGCAGGTGGACTGTGCTAATTCTAACTCTGTTCTCAAATACTATGTTAGCTGTTTGCCCAATGAACAAATTCCAGGGGCAATTAAAATGGCATCATTGCAATCATGAAATTGGAAAGAAAGTAATATTGGCTTTGGGATATTTGTATACAAAGCATGACTATGCACCTTGAAGTATTTCTGGATTACAGTTAACCATAATTCTTTACAACGTGTTGGTTTTAATGCAGTACTTGAGTACAGTAAGCCCTTCAAAAAGGGAGAGAGATTGGAAGGAAATATTTATATTGGATTTTTCTCTCTAAAGTAAGTTGGGAATCTGTTTCATGGCTGAGTGTCAACAGTTTTGCTAGTCGTACTATTTCTGTTTTTGAATAGTACCATTAAATTATTTCAAAACACCTAAAATTGTGATAGATTTCCTTTTGCTTCTTCGAATATATTTAATGACATGTTTGCCTATATAATTTGAACAGGAATTCATAAGAGTTTCTTTGTCAGGAAAGCACAGGTTATTAGAGGCAGGAATTGTGATAACCATTGGGTTCTTTCTAAGTACAATTGTCATGGGTTAGAAAACTCAATGCTCCTAGTTGTTGAATCAGTAATGCACAATGCACAAATAATGTACTTTATGTACTCTGTAGACAAATCAAAAAAGAAATTTAGCTAAAAAAGATTATACAGTGTTCTATTTGAAATCGCAGTGAACTAGAATGACACATGACACATTTAACATTTATATGCTTTATTTCTTGAATATTCTTTGGTATTGGAGAGCTCGCATTTTCAGCCTTTATATTTCAGATTTTGCTGAAATAATTTAAAATAATTTGAATTTTCATAGACATTTGTACATTAGTTCCTGCTACCTTCCACTAAACTCAACAGTTCTTCTATTTAAGGGAATTTAGGCAAATACCAACTAGATTGTGGATAGCTGTAATAACTGTTCACAATAATATATTACCCGACAAAGGAGAAATAACAGTCAAATGCGCCTCTGTGTTTATTCAGAAAAGCTGTAGGCTTTTGATTTCCTGAATCCAGGAATCAGAGAGTTTTCAAAAAAATTGAGCATAAGAATGTTGAATCTAGAGCTAAATTAAAAACTGTTATATTGAAATTTCAACATAGAACATGGAATGGCTGTCAATGGAAATAAAATTTTAATTCTAGATTTAATTATGTTTTCCAAGATAGGAATTTGTGACAGTGGATTTATTTAATACTTTCACTGTCTAGCTTTGAATATTTAACGTACTTTTCTATATTATAGCAGAATAAAAAGTAATGGATTTTCTGTTTCCCTTGTATAATGCAAATTATCTTTGCTTTCCAAATAATTAGTACCTTGTTTTCCAAAATATACACACTTCTTTTGAATTGGATCAAAAATGTAGCAGGGAGGACAGTTTTGGAAGTAATTGCCAGCTTTTAGTGAACAACATTGCAACAATTGGTTTGCATGAGTATGCTAAAATGTAATCCAATGTTACATAAAAGAAACTATTCAGAGTGACTTGTTTGTATATCCAGATGCTGTATAAAATGATTTTTTGCCATGTGAATCTTGTACTTAATCGTGCCCATCTTATCTGTAAATGCAATAGAGTATGAAAAATGTCATAATTGCCCTGCTGCTCTAGCCTAAGAAACTCTGTAGTTCACCCGTACAAAATAAAAGTGGTAAACTCTAACGGTTGATTTGTGAACTTTATTGCTTCTACATGATGACCCTTATTGTAATAAACTGTCAATCTTCAGAAAATGAGGACAGGGGTTCCTTAATTACATAGCTACTTACCAGTATCTCATTGCACTTTAATTGTACATAGAAGTGCAACTCAGAATAATGGAAGACAATAATTTCAGGCTGATGATTACAGTAATTGTAGACCATTTGAAGTGGTCTCTGGTTTGTGACAGTGCCATATGTGACAATGTTTAATAGCTAAAAAGGACAGTATCTTTGGCAGAAGAAAGTAGTGCATCTCTCATTTGACATTTGTCCCGCAATAACTATTGCCACAAGATGGTGCTGTGACTACTGTTCAGCCCAATTTTAGCCACTAAAAAGTAGTCTTGGTATTTTTGGAATTTTCATACCTTCAGGAGGTGGTATATGTATTTATATCTAACATAGCAAATAGATTGTGGTAAGACTAGCAACATATGCCCAGCAGAGTGGCTTTCTGCTGGTATCGACAGCAAAAGTTACAAGCTCCTTGTGATATGAAAAAAAAACCCACTAAATTATGGTAAATGAGTAGCAGAAAATGAGACACACCTCCCTTGTGAAGAGTTAAGAGTAATCTGATTGTTGTTAAGTGAAGTCAGTCATGAGCCATTAAAATACAATTACACTGTTCAATCATATTGATTGTTGCTATGACTTAATAGCAATCATGTTCTGGGAATTTCACTTAACTGTATAATTCAGTAGTTTTCAAGGAACAGAAATAAGCAACACAATCACCTGATATGTCAACATTTTACAAATAATGTTTTATTCATTTGATCAATATATTAACTGCTTCAGTCAACAAAGCAACTGTAAGTGAACTATAAGGAACAGAAAGTAAAAGGAAAAAACACAGCACAGTAATTTAAAGCAGCAGGGATGCCAGACAGGAGATATTGCTGTATAAAGAGTTGCCAAGAATCAAATTGCCTCTACAGCTCTTCCAGAGACAGGAAGTCAGACCTGTATGGACTACATAAACAATGCATAAGCATAAAGTAATACCAACGGAAGACTATCATCAACTGTAAAAACAAACGCTAACCTTGTAAATGTTACAAAAGACATCAAGTGTTCCTGCCCATACGGATTCCTAACACCAATCTGAATTTCATCTTTGTTCCAATAAGCACCAGAGCAATTAAAATCATAACATAAATCCCAAATTACGACAGAGCATGAGATGGTTCCCTAATGGTACATTTCACCTAACTTTTCACTACAGACCTTAAGAAAGCCAAACCCTAATTCTAACGCCGTCATACCAATAAAATATATACATGAGTATTTAACCTAAACCATTATCTCAAATTCAAACTACTGTAAATCATAAAACTTCTCCCTAATGCTAACTTTCGCATTAAAATTTCATAACGAAACTTGAGAAATCTCAAATATTTATTTCTATATTTTCTCAAAAAATAAGGGACACTACTCATTAGCTCACCTCTCAGTCAAACTATAACATAAACTTCTGACTAATACTAAATAGAAATATTTATATTAATCTTTAGCACAGTAGTCAATCCTGTTATAATTCCCAAAGAAATGTTGACAATAAAAACCTGCCCTATTAGTAACAAATTTTACCACCAAAACAGACTTTTGGGAAAGTAACACAGACTGAAGATGGCTCTGTAAAAGCAGACCCAACAGCTAAGCAGAAAAAAGAGATGGTGAATGGTCTGGCTCCCTGGACTAGATACCAAGTTTGCTCCACACAGCTCCCCATAAAAGAGTTCATAAAATAAAAACTTTGAATGGGTTTTGGAGCTCTGGGAGCCAAAAGGAAAATCATCTCCCCTAAGCCATCATTCAGCCCTTCAACTGACACTGGGTTTGCCTTTTTTTCTTAACCGCTTTAGAAAATTGCTTGTCACTGATCTTTTTTATGTTAAGAACCTTCAGAAGAGCAAGTTTTTTTTATGCTGGGACAGTTTCCTTTTATCCTTGATTAAAGACGACATATGTAAGTTTAAGAATTAAAAAGAAAAATTCACTGTTGGAAAACAGCAAGAAGGTTTGGAATACGGGTGTCAAACTCGATAGCGTCATGTGACGTATCATGACATATCACAATGTTTTTTTGCCTTTGTGGAGCTGGGGTAGGCATGGCCTGCGTGTGACGCATCCAGCCCATGGGCTGCCAGTTTGACATCCCTGTCTAGAAAGTTGCTTTGGAATAGTTAAGGGGTTTCCTGTGGGTTGTTTAAATTTTTAGGAGTTCTAGCATCCTGTGGTCATATGATTGCAATCTGGTGCTTGGCAATCCATTTACATTTATAACTGGTTGTAGTGCCCCACAATCCCTGGTGGCTTTCCCAGAAAGCCAGTAGGAAAGGTTGCAAGTTGCTGACATGATTGTCTACCCTCCCACCCACTCTCTTCCAGCCCCTCTACATTCATGCCGTATTGGCCACTCATATATTCTTGTTCACCATCCCTTAGCTGCGAGATTATGGATCACTTATATATTTGAGTGGTTTCAACTTGAAATTCTGCTGACAATGAGGTACTCTTTTCCTCTTCTGGGTTTGACGTGCAGCTAATCGATTGTCAACCTTGGTCACTTTCTGAAGATTGTTTCTTTTTTTTCATGTTGATGGTTTTGTTGGTTTTTCAATTTAACGAATGCTCAATTTAAATTCATTAGCTATGTGCTTTCCCAAAAAATGTTTTTCCTTGATTGAATAATACTCAATATTAATTGCAAATGGCAACACGTGAATAGTTGTTTTATTGGTGCCTGGAGGTTTCTACGGATCTTCCAAATAATTTATAGCAGTGTCTAAATCAAATAAAATAATCTGGAATCAATAGCAAATTATTACAAAGATAAACAACTACTTATGTTGAAACCAGTGGAGCTCCTAATAGTTACAACTGAATGCAACTTGATTTGTTGCCGGGACTGATAAAAACTTTGGTCTGTGCCCCCAGGTTCACTTGCAAGGGTAAGTTAGAATTTGACACTGATGAGTTAGCTACATGAAAGTTTCCACCCCCAAATCCAGTGCACCTGCTTTGGGTTATAAATAGAGCTAATTTATCCTCAGGATGTTTGGAAAGCAGAACAAAAGTCAATTGTTTTTATTGGTTCCTTGCGTCTCAGGTGCTATTTCACTTTTCCGACTTTATCCCATAAAGCCTTGATTTTGGCTGGTAGATAAATTTTATAAGGCTGTGAAACTCTCAACCAATATTGTATGAATCTCAGTCTAATCATGCTTGCTACTGATCTGGCACTGAGAATATGTAATTGGCATTCGAGAAAGAAACCTAAACTTCCCAGATATGAGGA